AGGTGACGATTAGTGCCTGGCAACACTTTAGAGAGGATTGAAAATCCTACAAGATTAATTCCGGATTATCTGTCAATTCGAAGCCGAAAATGGTCCAAGAGATACCGTCCTACTGAGTTACCATGAAATGGTTGAGGGGCACTGGGTTCATCCGATATTACTCAATGCATTTAATCATAAACTGTAATTCTATATAACGAAGATACGAACTTATGCAGCATGGAATTTAAATAAGGGCACATTTGACTGAACACTCAGCGCTCCACTTGAAGAATTTCTGGTTAATAAATGTTGCCATTAAACCTGGAATCAAAGCTGTTTAGAACTTGTTTCTGGTTCGTGACTGAACTTAGTTGAGTATCGCTACCACATTTTGAGCAAAATTACAACGCAAAAATGCATGGAATGAACGAACTAATGAACTACTTTGAACATAACATTGAAGATTTGACAAGACATTTTACGTTTGCATCAGAAGAAATTGCAATGAACCGTAAGCGTTAATCCATTCCCTGGATTAAAAAAAAAGTGGAGAATGTGCTCGGCGTGCACCGCCTTGCGCCAGACCTTGACATCGGGTTCCGGATATAAAAGGTGCAGCTGCCAGAATGTGCGGCTCCTCTTGGTGTAACGTGGGGTAATAATTAATCAGGGCTTTGCTGCCGAGCTAAGCTTGCCCGCTTTAAGCACGCACAACCTCGATGCCGTCCTAATGGCAACTCGTCAGCGCCACAAGGTGCACTGAGTGCACGGCTTTACGGGAGGGATCGTCATCCCCGCTTAAAAACTCCGCTTAAAAACACCCAACCATAATTTCCCCGATCCACTGCACCGATTATGCCTATATATCCCGTAAAACCATGGACATTCCAGTTAATATCTTAAGATGCAATTAATATGCACAGCAAAGATGCACTGCACTTAAGACTATAGATATAATGCCCTGTGGTCTAAACGATTGTTCAAGCAATCGCAGGAAATGTCTAAAGCCTCTATGGTCTCATTATGAGGCGTGAATGACAGGCGACACATGAAGCAATTTGCTACATAGTTAAATCAGGTGTATGAATGAAAGCAAATTGATTACTAATCATGAAAGCAAATTGATTACTAATCATGAAAGCAAATTGATGACAAATAAGTAAAATTCCATTTTCCGCATCTTTTCGTGACCACACATGACCTTGTTCGCACTAACTCAATCACACCAACCGTAACATACCTGTACATTAAACGATCCAATCATACGCCCACACATGTAACACTGAAATACCGGGGTATTTCGCGGCCCTCGGTACTCACCGGTGACGACCTCCACGTTGCCATCACACCAGCGGTGACGGCTCGTCACCGGACTCATGATTCCGCCGAACGAGCGAACCTGCACGCTCGCATGCGACCGACGACGACGCGAGCACTCATCTCGCGTACAAGCGGATTCCATTCCGCCCGAGCGAACTCTTCCGCACCACCGAACGCCGTCGATCTCATCCCCGATCTCCGACGGTCTCGCGCGAACCGACTGCCCTCATCTCTCATCTCTCATTGTTGCGGTGGCAAATTGTCCCCCCATACCCCCCTTTAATTGGGCTGATTCACGCGTGTGAACGTGACGAAAGGTATGGAAACAAAGATTTACACAAGATATTGAAGCCAAAAGTAAGAACAGCTCGACCGGTAACCACCTCCAAGGGAGCGGAAATGGCCGAACGGCGCCCACGTCATGTCCTTTGACCCCGCCTCTGCGACACCCGGGCTCCGTCCGGGCCTCCCTCACGGCATTATCAGGACCGATCGGCGTTTTATCCCGGGTAGCGCTGGCCTTCCGTTGCGCCAGCACGGGCCAGTGGGCCGCGTGCCCGGAAGCGGCAAATACGCCCGGGTACCAATGTGCCCTGGTGCCGGGGAGCGGAATACTACACTTGTCGCGTGCCGCAGATTATGGCGGAAGGAACACTTCGGGCATCCTGACCTCCGATGGGAAAGATTTCCCGGCCGCGGTGCACCATTTTTATGTAGGGGTTTCATGCATCGGAACCTGCAACCTTTTATTGGTTCCCCCCATGTACAGACATTACGTTAATCAAAGTTACTCTACAATGTAGAGTTCTGCACGGCTGCAATTTTCCACAGCCTAGCCGCCCCGCAGCCGTGGCTCCACAGCCACAGCCGCCCACAGCCGTGGCAAACTGTGGGCAGCCAGCCGTCAGCCGGCCGTGATGAAATGCAACCAAATAGTATATAATAAGTTGTTTTTAGTTGAAACATATAGCCAAAAGCACATTGCAATGGGCTATAGATTCTCAAGCTCATGAAGCATCATAGGCTAAGTGGTTGTGTATCTGGCTTTAGGCCGAAGGCCTGAAGCCTGATGCGCATCGCATGCCTACACAAGCCCTTGCAAGGGGTTAAGAAAGATGGGTAGGTTAGGTAAGGTAGGTACCTACATCAACAGAAAACATAAACAACGAACCAGAATAGAAGCACTAGCAGTGTAGAATAGACATCTAATGCCAAATCCTGAAGCATGGTTGTGGGACAGAACAACAGACCCTGATGCTTTTCATTATCAATGTTAGGTATGGAAAATGAAACTGAAGTTGATGGACAAACAGTGATTGTCTAGTCAAAACTCTTGCTTCTTTCTTACCCTGCATATTTTCTGGGGTGTGATATGCCAGGCTTGAAGCAACCTTCTGAGCAAGTCTCCAACTAATTTGATATGCAAGGCATCAAAACACTAGTGAGCATCCAAGAAAGAAAAACATTCATCTATTTTGATTTTTCCAAATAATGATCTTCGCTCAAATCCCCAAGGACGTGCGATTGCTCTTTCAATCAAAAATTTTACTTGAGTCAAATGACGTAAAAAGCAAAGAAGTGGCAATAAATTGTTTTGTGTCACCATAAACAGCCATAGAAATCATAATTAATCAATAATAATGCTATACAGTTAAAAATTTGCTCTCAAACAAATATCAATTATCAAATTTTTACATTTTTAGAGGAAGACGTCATTATATTAGTAAAATCAACAGCTCGCGTAAGAAATATTGTGTTCAGGGTTTTCACCGTCATGTGAATTACGTGTTCAGGGTTTCCACCATCATGTGAATTAACCGTAAATAAGGTTCATACTCACTTATAATCTAATTCCATTGGCTTCGTTGATCAGCATTTTCTGTTAGCGGTCACTCACACGCCAGTTAGAACATAAAGCGCCAGTTTTATATTATGTAATTGGACTTGCCGAAAATCCAGAAGTACATCTAAGAGTTATTTTAGATAATATTTTATGAAGCCTTTACCTGCCTTTACCTAGGCGTGATTTCTTTTTCTATTACCTGAAAGAATTATTGAACGCTCATCTTCAATAGCTGTAAGGTGCTCTCCTAATGACCAGGTAAGATTGAGATTGATTTGAGGGGGATGTGACAGCAACATGTTGCATTTTCTGAAACTGTCAAGCTATTGATGATGAAGGAACAATTGGTGCCTATAATTAGTATTCTGTACCAGAGTGCAAACTCTTCTACAGCAAATGGTAAAACCATTACAGGTTTTCAAAGGCTTCACCACTTTCAATATTGCTGGGCATCCTTTGCATGATTTTTACAGGCTAGGCTGCTTATCAGAATGTAAGATTAAGGATTTAAAATTTTATATTTGAGTACTTAAGATTGAGCTTGAAATCTCACAGCCGTGGCCACAGCCGTAGCCGTGTTCTTGGAGATATTTGCAGCCGCCCCGGCCCACAGCCGTGGGGCTGCAGCCAGCCGCGGCTGCAGCCGGCCGGTGCAGACCTCTACTACAATGCCCGCCTGCCACCCGGGTGTATTAAACTAAGCGGCCCGTGTGATTGTTCGTTCACGTTCACCGTGTATCAGCCCGGCATCTGCCTTTACCCAACTCAAAGATTTGGCTCACATTCCCATTACATTGTATTTTGGTCTCGCGGGACGAAGTGTCATTCTCTCGGATCATTTTCCTCACGCACACTATACACATCACACTTACAATCGCTCACTCATATACGCCACGCGCCGCGCCGATTAATTATAATTTAGATGGGACGGCCCTGGATATAAACGGGAGTGCCCACCGCTATTTGCGGCGGGTCGGAAAGCCAAATAAAATCCAGGACATATGTCGGGGACTTCCGCAGCGCCTGGGCGCTGCGGCGTTAATTTAGGGGGGGATGGAAAAGATCGCTTACCGAAAGATGTTGCCCCGACGACACCGCACTGGCAAATGCCTCGAGAGACGGGCCCGCGAGTCCCAGGTGCCGGCCAGCCGCAGCCTTTCACCCGGCGGGCACGCCTTTCCCGCCGGAGGCTATCATACGGCGGACTGGCCTTACACGCACTCTGGTACTCCGGCCCGCCGCTCCTCTCCGACGTACACGTCGCGCTAAATTTTGCCCTTACACAAGCAATGATGTCATGACCATTCATAGGCGCGGGACTAGCCGGGGGGGGCAGTGGGGGCAGCCTGCCCCCCCCCCCTTCAACCCTGGGGCCGTGCAGGGGCGGTGCCCCCACAGCTTTGAGACGGAATGCCACACTTGTTTTGCAAATGTTTTCTTTTTTGTTGAAAAAGCCGAGGGATGAAAAACAAGTGGCCTAAAACCGGTGAGAAAACTAGATTTGGGGGTACCCTAGGCTGATCTCTATTATGGTGTGCCCCCCCCCCCCCAGTCGGAAAGTAGTTCCCGGGCACCTGTGACCATTTGACCAAGTCATGCATTGACCTCTATAAGTCTAGTATAGGTCAATGAAGTCATGACAGAGCCGCACTCCACGGGATGTAAAAGCTGCAGCTCTATAGGCTCTCCCAATTTAGTGCTGAGCATTTTTGGTTTTGCTGAAAAGCGTTTCTAATCCCAATTTGTTTTGCAAAATGTTTTTGAATAAATTTAAAAACATTATTTTCAAATTCAATCAAAGCAAGACGCTAAAAACCTGAATATTATAGCTTGTCACCTGTTTCTCTATCACAAAATGGCGCAGGGCTGCTGTCGCAGCTGAAGATTCTGTTCAAGGCCCTAAATACAAGGTTGCACGGACTTATTTCTACTAAACCTACCAGAATATAGTTTCACGGTTGATTATTTAAATAATTATTCAATCAAAATTTCTTTATTACTATCTCATAATCATTTATAAGCAATTTTATAAATCAACTTTCAATTTGCTTGCCTTTTACTAGCAAAATAACTTTTCTAGTATTGGGTCAACATAGTGGTGTAGCAGTAGGAACCACATCTGGCAAAACCCCAATGCCTACATACAGCAGAAAAACAGCCACCAGATGTCGCCACAGTCGCCACTTGGTCGCCACACAGATGTCGCGCGCGTCGCTAATCGCCACACTACCGATTTCCATAAGGACGCATATGTACGGATATGTATAGGAAAGTCGCCCTTAAGGATTACGCTTGCATCCTTTGCTTATGAGGTCGGTGGTTGGAAATTGGGAGGGACTCAGCTATTTTCGACCACGGATATGCCTTTATCACATGATGAGGAACATGCTGATAAGCGTTTTATGTGTCATAACAGCACACAAGTATTTTTAATCATTTTTCAAAAATAGCCGTTCTGCCGTATCTTTCAGTGCAAGGTGCCGTCGGTCATCCCCGACGTGACGTCACGCCGGGGATTTCCAGATTTTCCTACTAGACTTCGACGCCCCCTGATTCTGTTGTTGTCGCGTATTGATGGCGCAGTGGTCGCGCAGCGAATTTTCTGGGAAACAGGATGCGCTGTCTGCTTTGTTCCTTGTGACGGTGTAGTTAATGTGTCACTATTGCTGTTAAGTTTCGTTTGTGATATTTTGAGAACAGGATGTCTTCTAGTTCTACTAAAATAATGCGTGGAAGTGTGCGGAGATCCAAGAGGAGATCGGCAAAACGTCCTTGTCCTGCCAATGAAGGTAAATTGGCCTTTCAACGTCCAATTAAACCAGAAAGTAGAGTTTGGCATATGCTGCTCTTTTCGTATTTCAGTGTAAATCCTTCTTTATATAACTTCTTGTTTGGGGGAGTGCAAAATGTAGGGTGATGACCGATTGGTGTCCTTGAGGCTTGAGCTCATTGTTAATATAACTATTCTATTTTATTGACCTAATTGAATAAGCCATGGGAACTCAGTATGCTGCATATATCTACTGAGACTTTTCAGAAATCATTTTCAATGCTTAACAATTGGTGTAAGTCTCGGTGTCCACAGAGTCCTGCTTTGCTTTGCAGCCAAAATGAAATAGGTATGCTGCAACGCGCATGCGCAGTGAGAGCTAGGTACTATGCCTATTGGTTCTGCCCACACTGGTGTGTCATTGCCAGTGTGACATCACCTACTGCAGCATACTTTCCAGTGTACTGCACACAAATTGGTAGTTGTAAAGCAAGCATTATACTTTTTTTTTGCAATCAGGGAGAGGTGCTATATAGGTACCCAGAGATGCTTTGTAATCAAACCAAACCAAACCAAGCCTAACCAAACCTGACCTTACCTTACCTACAACCTACAACTTGAAACCTACCACCTAAAATGCCTGCTTTATTAGGTACTACCTACTGCAGGAGAATAAATGAAAGTAGTGCAACTTTAGGAAAAAAGTCCTTTGTTTCCCATTTTAAGAGGTAATATGTTGTTTATAGTGCTATTGTTACTACTTACCATGTTTACTAGCACATTGCTATAAATTACATTCAACTGCATCTGAACCATTCTTTGAACAAAAACACCAGTCCACCCGTGCCACAGTTTCAGTGTGTGCAGGATATGCTGCAGCTGTGTTTCAGCTCTGTGTATGGGTAGAGAGTGGGTGGAACTGGGCAGCTAACATCACTAATGTATGACACACTTAGCACAGATATATGCTGCATGGGACTAGACGGCCCTAATCATTCAGATTCATGTGTACATTATGTAATAATAAGAATAAGTCAAAATATCTTAAAACTGAAAATAAGAATATGTTCCATCAATAATAATTCTTTCATGTCCCTAGTCAAAAATGATGCTGATTAGTGCAGCAGATACCATGATAACACATTCATTGGTGGTCACCTGACTTATAACCTATCTTGGTGACCTAATCTGATATATCCCAGTCTTATTCAACCTAACCTAACCTTACATAATCCTATGCCCGGCACCTACCAATACCTAACACCTACCTCTGACAGAAGGTGGCAAATACCACTCTTCAGTGTCCCAAAATTGAGTTTTGTCTGGGGTGTCAGAGGGGAAAATTACCCACCAAAAAGAGGGGAGAGAGTGGAAAACTGCTGATTTGATTAGATCCAAAAAGAGTGAGAAACGCCACAAAACATGGATTTTATTCTAGGATGTATGTAGAATGTTTGATGCTAAACCGGGCATTCACACAACCGCTCTTTCTAGAGGTAAAAAAAAAATCTAGGTTTTGTTGGTTGGGAGTGGAAAATTGTTCTTAAAAATTGGTGGTGAGAGTGGAAAATGAATTTCCTTTGGATGTCATTTCCCACCCAAATCGACAAATTTTGGGACATTGCCACTCTTTTATATGCTATGCTCCATATCTTAGTTGATCAATGTGCAGCATTGGTTATCATCAAAATTTGAATAAGCATATGAAAATTTATGCAGCATTAAAATAAAATTATTGATGCATTTGGACATTAGCTTCAGTGATACCAACTATATTGATAATGAATTAGGGAACAAATTTGGATTGGAAAATTGATAGGTAGGAATAAAAGATTTCAAAGAATGTGATTTAAGCATTCAAGGTTGCTAAGTGGTAACCACCAACCTACCTCCCCAGGGTTTGAGTGTAGAGTATTTTAGTGAAGATATCAGTTCCACCAGAAACCACTACTACTAATTCACTAAGAAGTTAACAAATCAATCCTTACTAAACAAAAATACATCTTTTTACTACCTGCAATAGAAAATGGCATTGTGACAAAGTCAATCATTGAAGTAGGTGCTGCTGATGAACTTACTTATTTAAAGGTATTCAGCAATGATACCTGTATTGAGTGGTTCTAGCATAGAGAGACTGATAACCTTATCAGCATATGATATGGTGGGATATGGTCTCTTTATGCTAGAACCAGGGCTGCGGAGTCGATGGATTTTCGGCGACTCCGACTCCAGGCAGAATTGTCGACTCCGACCGACTCCAACTCCCGACTCCGACTCCGCAGACCTAGCAGGGCTGCGGAGTCGACAGATTTTCGGTGACTCCGACTCCGACTCCGGCTCGGGTTTCTAAAATCGACTCTGACTCCGACTCCGACTCCGGTCACAACTGTCGACTCCGACCGACTCCGACTCCGGCTCCGACTCCGACTCCGACTCCGCAGCCCTGGCTAGAACCACTGATAATCATCTGATAATCAGATGATTTGCCAGGTGATCATTTAACCCACACTTAGGTCACCGATATCGAAATTCTGCTAGATACATTTTGTACATAATGCTGCTGTTATGCATTGTTGAAAGTTTCAAAGCGATCTGTCTCTTGGTCTAGCTCTGGCAAGCATTGAACCTTATTTTGAGTTTAGGTCACTTGATCTGACCTGGTGACCTGACCTTGGGAGACCTTGACCTGAAGTTTTCACAATTTGTGTAAAAAAGGTGTATGATAAAGTGTGCCGAAAAAGAAAACACATAGGGTGCTCAATCCCCCTTCACCCAGCAGGCTGCAGGTTAATTTTGTTTCATTTTAATCCATCTTTTAAAGTGTAACTCAGAATACATCTGATAGTATCTCACAGGCTGCTTGTTATTCCGCAGACTGTCATGTGGCTTTGACAAATATTTGGCTGTTGTGCTGTATATTATCTACAATAATTTATCACATTGATTCCAAATCGTTTTCAGTAAATTTTAACCCGCGCTGGGAGGAGGATGTTCGGACACCTGCATTTTTTTTGCAGGTATTTCCAAAACGGTGGTGCTTTTGGCACACCCGTTCATGCATCTTTCCACAAATGTGAAAATTTTAGGGCCAGGTCGCTCAAGGTCAGGTCACCAGGTCATGTCAAGTGACCTCACCTCAGAAAAAGTAGTATGTTCATCCTTGCTACACCTACTGAATGGCCGCCTTGAAACAATTAGTGATAAGTATGTATAAATGTACATCTTGGAATTTTGATATTGGTGACCTAAGGTCAGGTCAGTTTTGCGCCCTCTCCATTACAAGTAAATGGGAGAAAATTTAAAGGTGCCTGTTTTGGACGAACGTCATTCTTAACACTCAGGCATCGGGACATACACAAACTTGACACACTGAAGCGGAAAATTGCAGCCATGGCCCATGCTTATGCCCTGGAGGTCATCTCAGGTCATGGAAGGTCCCCAGCAGTTTTTTAAAATAACTTTTGATTAAGACATGCTAGAGCGATGGAAACACCCCAGATGTGTTCAGCTCGACGATACGAATCGACTGATATGCAACATGACCTTTTCCGGTCAAGTCATGACCTCGACCTTTGGTCATATTTTTCAAATTATCTTTCAAGTTCAAATTGTAGTGCATTCGACGCGTCTCGACGACAGGAACACGTTGTTGGTAAAATAAATGTTGTGCATTTCTTGATTCAGAATTTATTACCGAAAAACGCTTCGCAAAACGGCAATTTTTCCAGTTTTTGCCCTCTGGAGGCTAAACTGTTGAACAAAAGTCAAATCTGAGGACATGTTAGCGAAAGAACGTTAAAAGAGCTATCGACTGCGGTAATCTCCGGCGCCGTAGCTCTATTGGTTCCCGAGTTATGCGCCGGTTTGTCGAAAAATGTTAGAATAGGCAAAATGTTACCTTCGCTGGCCTCTGGTGACCTGTCCTTTGACCTGGCCTAAAAAAAAATGACCGAAGTTTTTTCGTCATTATTGTTGACGCTCTTTCGAATGCCGTTTACCGCGTGTCGCTACGTGGCCCCCGGCCCGGGGCGGTTTACTGGTTCATGAGCGATCTATGTTATTACTTTCCCTCAGTGTATTGGGCGAATATGTGAGGTTACAGAGTGCTTGCGACATTTTTTGCGAGTATGCCGCCCGGCTGACTGCTGCTGTGCCTCCTCTGACCGGGTCCGCGCGCTCCCTTGTGCCGCCCGGCCGGCCGGCCGGCCCTGCCGTGCCTCCCCTGATCGTGTGCGCGCTCCCCTGTGCCGCCCGGCTAACTGCTGCTGTGTCCCCTCTGATCGTGTGTGCGCTCCCCTGTGCCGACCCAGCCGACCCTGCCGTGCCTCCTCTGACCGGGTCCGCGCGCTCCCCTGTGTCGCCGACAGATGACGCCTCCGGCTCCGTTACCTCGGTGGAGAGGCCCGGCCGCGGCTACCTGCCCAATCCGGCCGGCGGCCGCCTCAGTCCCGAACAGATGGAGTGTAAGTCACCCTGCAGTACCCAACTAACCTTCTGTTCGCGCAACAGACGTTCTTTGGATTTTGAGGGCGTCTCAGACACTGGCGGATCCTGAAAGGTGGTCTTAGACGCTGCGGGGGCATACCTCCAAAAATTCTTCGAATTCTAAAAACTCATCGGATTTCGATTCCCAACGCTCAGCTGTGCGGCTTTAAACAAACCCTTACGCACAAAAGTTTATATGTTGTTGCTCTATTCTAAAAAAAAAGTCGTAAATTTGGGTCGGTTTCGGGCGCCGTGGGAGGGGGAGGGGGCCCCCTTCCCTGGATCTGAATGTGATGTCAGAAATATAAATAAACACTGAAGTATAAGAGCTCGATCGTTAGGGACATGTCATCATTTAATGTCCAGGTCATCATAGTTTGGAGCGCTGGAACGATCACCGATATATTCGGAAGAGTCAAAAAGCGTCGGGAGAAAAAGTCAGTTAGCTGGGGGTTTTCATATCATCGCTACTCCACCTTTTGAGCTACCAATGTCAGCAGCTTTACTCATGTTTAGGTGCTACACCACCTGCAATTGGAAGGTCTTTATAACCAAATAGCATAAAATTTGCAGAATAACTGGCAGTGTAGACATTGACAAAACGTTCCTCTTGATCATCTTGTCTGCTTTTAATATTTTTGGGTCAGAAATTCAGAGTCAGAGATCAGACGTGACGTGATGACGCCAGGTGATGGCGTGTGTAGTAAACTCCATGCGTCTACATGTTTGAATGTCATCGGTAGTTAGATTGTCACCTTTTTCTGCTTTCAATCATTGTGTTCGATGCCATTATGACTCCCGCGCAGCCGCTCAGTCTGCTGACACGGAGCCGCCCGCGACTGACGTGTGCATTTCTCTCCGCTCCCAGCGCTGTTCCGTCTGCCGTTCCCCAATGAGCTGGAGCTGGACAACTTCCTGCGGCCGGTGTCGCCCAGCGCGCCGTCCGAGGCCGGCCCGGCCGTGCCGCACAGTCACCGGCTGCGCAACGCCAAGTCGCCGCCGCCGGGGCCCAGCGGCCACCTGGCCGCCTACCCGGGCCCGCGGCCGGCCCGGCGCAGCTCCACAGACGGTACGGAGACACCCGCGCCGGACGACTCCGCGGGAGAGGGGAGGCGGTGTAGAGACAGGCTCACTGGGGCGTCAGACAGAATCTGCTGCTCGATGAGTTTCAAGTGGTTTTGGTTTGTCTTATCGATCGTGTTGCTGTCCTTCTGTGAATAAAACCACAAGCTAGCAGCTTTTCCCTGATTGCCCTATTTAATGTTATCTTCAATGTGAATAGGAAACCGAGGGTGGTTCAATGCTGTGTACCCTGGAGGTGCCCCAATTTACTAACGCCTTCGTCTCTACGTTCTGTCATTCTGCCGCTGTGTTGGTACGCGCCGCTGACTGTGTACCGCTCTGGCCGTTGCAGAGGACAGCTGTGACCCGATGGGCGAGGACCTGTCTCTGGCCGGCTCGGCGGCCGCCGCCGCCTACCATCTGCGCCACCGGTCGCCCACGCCCGGACCCAGCGGCGCGTGCACGCCCTCGTGCGGCGCCGCCAGCCGCGACCCCACCCTGCTGCCCTACAGAAAACGGCCCCGCAAGGGATCCCTGGTGGAAAGTGAGTGGCCGGGGTGCACAGGGGCTCCCTAGTTGACAGTTCCTAGGTAGTTGATAGTTGATTCCCGGCAGTGAGTGGTCGGGGCCGCGCTGGGAATCCGTAGCTGAGAGCAAGTGGGCGGCGCTGCTCTGGGACTCTAGTTGGAAGTTAATGAATGGGGCTGCTCTATGACTAGTTTCTAGTTGAGTGGGTGGTAGGCCTGGTGAGTGGGAACTTGGAAACCAAGATTTCGTAGTTCGTGGTGATTGCACTTCTCTCACAAGGTCTTGCTTGTGGAGTAGTGATGTGCCTTAATCTTATTTATATCAAGGTCGATTAATAGTTTCTGTAAACGGTTCTGTTGGTATTTCATAGTTTTATTCATTTGTTGGCATTTTGGCACATCCATGCTTATCTGAATTGCTGTCACTTCATACAACCATTAGTTTATGCTGATACCTGACGCGGACAGTGTGATCACCGTTCTGACCGCCCCTTTTGCCGGCCCGCCTAACCCGTCTACCACTCTGCCTGTCCCGTTTGCCGCTCTGACCACCCCCTCTGCCACCCCGCCCGCCGCAGCGGCCACCGAGAAGAGCGTGGCAGCGCAGTACCTGCTGTACGAGCTGCCTGACGAGGTGCTGGTCACCATCTTCTCCTACCTGCACGAATGTGACCTGTGCCGCGCCGCGCGCGTCTGCCGCCGCTTCTACAAGATCGCCAACGACCTGGGACTCTGGTGAGTGAATCGAGTGCTGGTGGAGCGCGTGGAGCTCTTTACTGAGTGCCCGGGCCGTGGGGTACACGGGGATGTGATTGTGTCTTTGGCGAGTGCCTCTGCCGTAAGGCACGACGAGAGATAGTGAGTGTGTTTGTATTAGTTAGTAGCGGAGGCTGCCTTGAGGGGTTTTAGATAAAGTTACCGATGGTTTTTGAACGGGAGAGCATCATAGTGTCCCTGGAATTTAGATTCGCGCGGCTGAACTCTTGTGTGAATAACATCTATTATGACAATGAGACATCTATTATGAGCTGGTTATGGGCCAGCTCGTGGAAACTGAATGCATGGTGGACAACACACACCTGAATTACTGGGCAGCAGCAAGCTAGCTTCTGGTATGGATCAAGCCACCGAGAGTAATCTGATACCCGTTTTTATATCACCTCTCATACGAGGCCACGTCATAGACCTGGATAAGTTCGCCTCAGGCCGGGTGACGCGGATTCATTGCCATCACCCAGTATCGGGCACGCAGTGCGATCGGTACGTCAGAACACACTCAGTGCGTTCGTTGTCGCGTCTGCCGCCCACCCGAGCCGGATCGAGTCACTGATTTGACGCTCGGTTTGTATCGGCCACGGATGGCCTTTCGCCGAAGCTTTACGCTGGTGTATAGTTGGTCGTCTCCCTTACGCCGTCAGTCTGTTGCACTATCGCCGGCGAGTGTCTCCGGCTGGCGCCGGATCGCGCGGGTCCAGAGTGGCTGGTCGGTCCGATCGGGTATCGGTGCACCGAGGCGGGTCGCGGGGAAAAGAGTGTCAGGTGCTCATTACGCAACTGCCGCGGATCGGGTAGACCGGTTTGATTCCCACGCTAGATAGGGACGTATGCACTAATTTGAGTGATTTGCACAATATGTGTGCAATATTACTCCAGTGGGGCGAATTTGTCATGGATATTTGTATAATTTGTCTATCTCGGATTTCGTAATTTTGTGTTTTCTTTTTCTTATTTGTTTTCTCCGCGTTTTCTTTTCAATCTTGGAAACAAGTGTTCGCCGATGACCACCGCAGTTTGGTCGCGCTAGAACTCCTCGTCCAAAGTTTAAAGTTGAAAACTGCTCATGCTCATTTTGCAGCATCTTTGTTCCGGTGTGGTTTCGCTGACCTGGCACGGGTCAGCTCTCTTGGTGTCTGTGTGTGACGTTGGCTTATCTGTCCGGCAGGAAAACCCTGTACCAGAACGTGTTCGAGTACGACCGTCCGCTGCTGCACCCGGCCCCGTGCGAGTTCGAGTTCGTCAACCCCGACGACTGCGAGCTCGAAAACCCGTGGAAGGAGAGCTTCCGCCAGCTGTGCTACGGCGTGCACGTGCGGCCCGGCTGGGAGGCGCGCGTGCCGCCGCCGCCGCCGGCCGGCCGCGCCCGCTCCTCGCGCGTCGCCTACGCCGAGACGGTGGAGTCTGCGGTGGAACAGAGCGAGCGACCCGGCGCGCCGGCCAACCCGCTCATCTTCATCCACACGGGCCACTACATGCGCCAGTCGCTGGTCATCAAGTCGAACGTGCAGCTAATCGGCGCCGCGGCCGGCAATGTGGCCAAACACGTCATCATCGAACACGGAAACGAGTCGACGCTCAAGTTCGGCAAGGGCGCGCGCCAGGCCTACGTGGGCTACGTGACGCTGCAGTTCGTGCCTGACAACGAGTCCTCGCACCTGAAGCACTACAGTCTGGAGGTGGTGGCCAACGCGGCGCCCAGCGGCGAGCACTGCTCCCCGGCGGCCGACCAGTGTTCTCCCACCGTGGACCATTGCGTGGTGCGCAGCCGGTCGCTGGTTGGAGCCGCCGTGTGTGTCAGCGGCGCCCGCGCCGAGCCCATAGTGCGCCACTGTGACATTTCCGAGTGCGAGAACGTCGGTCTGTACATCACTGACTATGCGCAGGGCGTGTACGAGGACAATGAGATCAGCAAGAACCTGCTGGCAGGTATCTGGGTGAAGAACCACGCCAACCCGGTGATGCGGCGCAACCACATCCACCACGGCCGGGACGTGGGCATCTTCACCTTCAATAACGGACAGGTAGGTCAGAGAGGGGGGCGTGAGGGGAGGGGTGGGACAGCGGTCACAGGTTATGGCCGTCAGAAGGTCGCATCGTGCTGTGCCAGGGTTGTGCTTGACTCATGAGTCGAGTCAGAAATTTGACTCAACTCTGACTCAAATGAGTCAGATTTGAGTCGAGTCGGATAAAAGGTTGAGCTGTTGAGTTGAGTCAGAGTTGAGTCGGACAAAAATATTAAGGTGTTGAGTTGAGTCAGAGTTGAGTCAGTAAAATAACTTTTGACATTGAGTTGAGTCAAGAACATTTAGGAACATGAGTCAGCTGACTCAACTTTTTAGAAACAACATATAGTATAAGCTTTTCATTCTCCCCCCGCTTAACAACTTACGCCTGGCCCTGCTGCCGGATTTTTTCACCCCCCCCCCCGCTCAACAACTTTTTTATCTGAGTCAATTTTGAGTCAACACACTTGACTCAACAAAAAATTTGAGTCAAGTTTGAGTCAACTCATATTTTCATTGAGCCGCTTGAGTCATGAGTCGAGTCAAGGGAAAAAATCAGCTCCTTGTTTGAGTCAGAGTTGAGTCAGGGCATTCTGAAGTTGAATGATGAGTCGAGTCGGCAAATTTTTTTGAGTCGAGCACAACCCTGTGCTGTGCAACGGCTTGTGTGTGCGTGTGTCCTCGGGTTCCGTCTGACGGGAAACCAGTTAGTCTAGGTTCCCTTCTTAGGATTGTCTGTGTGAGCGTTTGTTTGCTAATCGTGACGAATTAGTGCATGAAGTGGAGTACATGATTGCATAAGCAATGGCACAGGAAACTAATGGCATTGATCGAAGTCTGCTGAGGTCCGTGTGGGTTTTTATGTCTTGTGCTAGCTCCTTTTGCGTAATCCTACTATTTCTTAATCCTACTATTTTGCGTAATCCTACTATTCCTTTTGCGTAATCCTGTATTTCTTAGCGCCGTTACCGTATTTTTATTTGAACCAGTGTAAAAGAACGTCCATATTTGGAACCTCTAGCGGTGTAGCGCTAGAATGACAGGCCGTGCGATCTGTCGGCTATGAGGTAGTGGATTATGTGGGCCAGTTGGCTCTTTGCGCTTGAGGATGTAGGCCTGATTTCTTGCGATAACGACAATATGGTGGGTCGGGTGGGGTCTTTTATCGGCTGATTTTTGAAATACGCTTGGATGCAACAAATCGTTATAAATGTTCGTGCACGATCATGCATCAATGTAACTGACGTTTGAACAGCTAACTTGTCATTAATTACTGCCTGTAACTTATTAAGTTTGTGCGTGCAATTATGTTCATGAGTCGTTCCATTGAAGATCAGAAGAGCGGTTTAGTCGGAGCACAGTCGCCAACAGGCTTTCAGCTGCTTTTAAAGTTGGTCATGAAGTGTCCACCTAGGAAGGTCGTGACCATTGCCGGCGGACCTGTCTCCACCGACTCTGGTCGTTTGGGGAATGAAGCCCCTGGGATGTGGGCAACTGGTCGGAAATGTGCGCAGACTGTATGAATGGTCCAAATGTCAACCGGAAGCTAGATGTCACTGTTGGTGTTTGCACTCATGGTTTGATGCTGCGGTTGGCCCCCATAGTGCTGGTGACCCAAAGTTAGTGGGTGGCGGTCAGAGCTGGCCATGCATAATGCTGGTGTTGTGCGTGGTATCAGCACACTGAACGAGGGCAGCTCATTGTTGGAAAGCGATACTTGCTAGATCGGCATTGCTCAATAACCATTATGCTGCCTGCCGGTTACCTCAGCAACATATTCCGTTACAGTAACTGCTTTTTAAAAAAAGTTCTCCCCTACCTCCCGGGTTCCATGTGACCTGAACCGGCTGTTTTTGTTTTCTAGATCACTATTTAAAAAGCACCACAGTTTCGATTGGCGCACATCAATTAGCCGTGCTTCAGTGGAACATACTCTCAGTTGAGTCCGTGGTCCTGCCTGTTCCGAAGTAACCGTTCAGTCCACCGTAACCTAACTGGTGCCAAATGGTGACTAACGGGCTCTGCGAGTAACCGGTCGGCTGGATTTTCCCGCTCCGCAGCCATTCACACTTTTGTCACTGAATCTTGACTCTAAGCTATGAATATAAGCATGGAATTTATTAGAGCGAGAACCAGTGCATTGGCAGATGTGCTCGTCTTTGTATGGTTTGGGGCTCATGCAAAATGTGTGAAACTTAAGGTCCAGCAGTGCACTGCATCTTCTCCAAGAGAAACCAGCGAAGCATATAGCTATATGAGTGATCAAACCTGTGGTCATAGCTAATGACTTACTCGCTGTTGTACTCTACCTATGTGAATGATGATCTAATGATTATGAGGTACGAGATCACCGACTTTATTGCGATGCAAGAGCTATGTTGCGAAAATTATTAGCTGTAGTCTGATGATAGCGAAGTATTGCGTAATCTTTCTCTCGGTAAATCGCAATCAAATATGATATGTCTACCTCTGAAATTGTAAGGGTCATAATAAGAGTAGCTGGCTGAGTTAGCATCAGATTTCGCAAAGCATGATACATCAGTGAGCGTTGGATTTCTCACCTTTGTTCTTCACCGCCATTCCTAGATTTCGGTGAACCCCGCCGTCGGCTGTGACTGGGTGCGGGGAGACACCGCTGTCCTGTCCTGTCCTCTCCTATCCTCCGCCACTGTCGGCTGTGACCGGGTGTGGGAGACACCGCTGTCCTGTCCTGTCCTGTCCTGCGCCGCCGTCGGCTGTGGCTGGGCGCGGGGAGACACCGCTGTCCTGTCCCGTCCTGTCCTGTCGTGTACAGTCTGTCTTAAAAGTACCGCGCAAAGTAACGGTGGATCCATCAAGCCTGACCGAGGAAGGGCCTGCTAAATTTGAGTCACCGAAGCAATTGACATCCTCGTTCATTCCCCGGGTTAATTAGTTGGGTGACTTTCAAATTAGAGCAGGCCCTTCCTTGGTCAGGCTTGATGGATCCACCGTCACTTTGCGCGGTACTTTTAAGACAGACTGTACATACGAGGGGGTATCGAAAAGTTCTGATCATCAACACGAATGAGATGTGATAGAAATTTGATTTTTTACATGATGTTCATTACTCCTTTGCAAGTCACCACACACGACCGCAAACTTATTGCATCGTTTCTTGAGCTGCCTCAGGCGGTCATTGTAGGACCTTCGCACTGTCCCGTAAATCACTGCTCCATCTCATCGATGACGTCATTTCTGTCCTTAAATCACCGGCCATACTGTGCATTCTTCATCTCCCGTAACAATCAAGAGTCATTTAATATCCGGTCAGGTGAATTTCTTAGATGCGGTAGGATTTGATGTCCACATCATGCTCTTTCTTCAATCGCAGCTCAGGACGAATGGGCGGGAGCGCTGTCGGTGCGAATAAAACATCTTTCTTGGGCTTTTTGCGGCGATTCTGCTTGAGGCCCTCTCGCAACTTCTTCAAAAGTGTGCAGTGGTGCTTGCTTATCATTATCCGACCATCATCAAGACAGTCGGTAATGACTATCCTACGCCAGATCCAGAACACTGATAGCATTGACCTTCCATATCGGCTTCTGCATCTTCGCCTTTTAAGAAGGACAGATGTGCCGTGCTTAAACTTCTTGATCATCTTTTTGTCTCTGGATCATGCACATAGACCCAGCATTCGTCACAAGTCATCAAATTATCGAAGATGTCTTCAATTTCCTAAGAAAGGCCTAGTTTTGATTTCGAAGGGCCAATACGCATTTTTCTCTTGAACAAAGTAGACACACGAACTTCTAAGCGGGCTGACTCCTGTATCGTCTGTAGTTCTTCGCTGATAATATTTTCAGGCACTGCCAGCATTGAGACCTTTCTGTTGCACAATCATCTGAAAGGTCACACGACGATCTGTAAGGATGAGGTCCTCCACTTCCTTCACAGTCACCACCTTGTCAGTCACTGGTAGCCACTCACTTCTTGACTCCCCTGCAAGGGCCATGCAACCAAGTTGAAAATTATTTCTTCATTTTCGGTAAGTGCATGAGATGGGCTTTCCTCGCCATAAACTGATTTCACGTTCTTGATGTATTTTCTCAGTGTGATACCGTTTCAAATGCATTAGTTGGATGACGGTTCGGTCCTCAATGGGCCCAATACTCATCTTTTTTACTTCTAAGTCTCTCCTACATAAGATAAAACCACTTCTCAGGATTCTCTTTGCGGGAACATTGTTCTTAAGAACCAAATATAATACCAACCAAAAATCATCAAAATCGGTCTACATCTTCTATGTGATGATCAGAACTTTCCGATACCCCCTCGTACTGTCCTGCGCCGCCTGCGGCTGTGACTGGGTGCGGGAGACACCGCTGTCCTGTGCCGCCGGCTGCTGACGGCAGAGGTGCGCCTTCCTGGAACCCGGCAGGTGCGCCGCCGAACCCAGCCCCCTACGGCGGTCTCCCCGGCCCGCCAGCGTGAAATCGGAGCTCACGGAGTTTCCCCGCGTGGTGACCGGTGTAACGGGCGGGACCCGAGCTGGCCCTGTGTGGTAGAATAGACCTGTGATCGTGGAAACACGCGGTATCCGACAGCTGACCGTTATTGGGTCCGTTATAGCGTCTCAGACTCAGTGGTGTTGGACTGCATAGTTTTTGTTCAGATTAGCTTCACAATCTAGAAATAGTGTAATTCTGTGAATGGGATGGACGTTGCTAAATTGTCGAAGTTGCGTGCCCAGGCCCCAGCGTGAACTACTTAAGGTATTTGGTCTGATGCTATGCAGATCTTGCGCGTGCCTGCACGCAAAGCTAAACTTAGTGTCAGGGCCTTCTGATCTTGACTTGTCATGCCACCAGTTAACATTACTTAACGTATGGTTTTGGATGCAATAATGGTTTTAGCGCACGAGTTGGGTGATTATAGCACGAGTGTGTTAATGCACGAGTGAAACGAGTGCATTAACGCACGAGTGCTATAATCACCCACGAGTGCGCTAAAACCATTATTGCATCCAAAACCATACGTTACGTGAGTTAATACATGATTTTTGGTGTGTTACTGGGAACGATACATATAGCTATCCTTATCGCATTGCAATCATTGTTAAAGGGCTTCTATTTGGGGGGAGAAGATAAAAAGGGGCATGGTTTTTTTTGGGGGGAGGGTAAATAAAAAATAATGCACGCGTTCAGATGCATTACGATTCGAAATGTTATTGTTGAATGCAACAACATCATTGCATTCAGCACGTATGAGGTTTCTTGACCTCTCAAAAAGCACATAAAAAATGCTTCAAATAGGTGTTTATAGAAAGGGAAACAAAAAGACCTTGCGGGTGAAAATTGAATTATTGAGTTGGTATATAGGTACTGCCTTGGTTGAGTTTACACTTGGCACGTCATTTTATCCATCCTATCTCAGCTGAGGTTCGACGCCGCATCTCCGGAATGTATGTTACTTAGAATAAAAATGGTGGCAATCGGAGCGCTCTCCTCTCCCTCCCCTTCCGCCGTGGTGGGTAGCACAGAAAAGCTGCACCGATATAATTGTATTCCATTAACACGTTATGCCATTACTAATGGACCAGCAAAACACGAAACAAACATTTCGTAACAGCTCAGATAAGATAGCCAAGATAGCAGCTAATCAAGCTTTCATACCGGCAAACTCTAGCGGTTCACAGTGAAGTTGAAAGTGCAGTTGGTGAACTGCCCGGACACCAGCTGAGGAGGCGCTTCACCATTGCCCGGCGCATTCCGCGACTGTGAGACCTGGATGGTTTGCGACTGGTGTAACTCGGCAGGTCTGCTGTTGCTTAGAACCACCCGGCTACATCCCATAGCGTCTTGCAAGATTTGGGCTTCACCCCTCTTCTTTTCAACTGTCGAGTTGCCGATATACGGCTGCAAGCCCTGAAGAGAACGGTGACCGGTCCGGGACTGAATGTGCTGCACAGCTATCCCGGCATTAAACAGCACAGTGATGGTTGTCGATCGGACACAATGGTTTGTATATGTCTGACTGAGTTCGGCAGCACTGCTGATCGTTTTCATCATTGCACCCAGAGTGTTCACACCCAGCGGCTCGTTCTTGTACCAGACATCATTGTCTGTAGTTGTTCGGCACTGCTGAAAGAGCCATATACACTCGGGGTGCAGCTTCGACAGGTAGAGCTTGATGAGCCCGATGAGGGTGTGCGGGCCGATTTCACAATCATAGATTCTTGTGCTTTGGTTGGCTTGATCCTCCCTTGAGGGACCGCCCTGGTGATTCTTCTCGACCGCTGTCTGCTCGATCGTCATATACTCCTTGCCAACGTCATCGACGGAGAACCTGAGACTGTCTTTCTTCAGCTGTCTGTACAGCTCGCGGCCTCTGCATCCCAGGTTGAAGGCAACCAAAAACCAGATCGCCTGACTCAGTCGCCTGGGATCCTTTGCAGTTCTGTTATCTGCGATGTATTCATGGATCTTTTGAAGGTCCCCCGGGGCGATCTCTTCCTTCCTCTTGGCCTTCGCATTTCCCATCGCTGCGTAGAGTTTGCATTTTGCCTTGAAAGTGGCGTTTGCTTTGGTGAAGGGAGTATCTTTCGTTATGTTCATTGGATCGCGTCTTACTTTGGTAAGGTGGCGTTGAATGCCAGCCCGCAGACAGTTCATAGTTGCCGGTGCTGGTGTCTTCCCGTCAGACGTTTTAAGCTCCCCGTAATACCGCCTGAGTATCGGGGCGAACTCCTCTGGAGACACCTCGGAAAGATCGATAGTGATCTTTCTTTTCTTGAGCCATGCAGCAAACTTGCCTATAGCATAGCCAGTATTTCTTTCCGTGTTTTTTGGTTGCGCAGCCTCATCCAAATTATTCAAATCAGCCTCTTCCATTTGAGAGTTCTGAGACAATGGTTCGTCACTCTCACTACTGAGCTCCATTGTTTTGGTGAGCAAGAACCAAACGTATTTGGAACCAAGCAAGGAACCAACGCCATATAAGTTTTTGGAACACACTCAAAAATATTATCGCACGCGTGCTGATAATTAAGTTGTTGCACGCTCGCGCTCTTAGCGCATGGGATCTTCATATTTAGTCAATGGATAAATTCCCAGTAACGCACCGGAAATCATGTATTAACGTTCTTATTCAGCCAAGGGTAGGTCGCTCTCTCGAACATAAAATGTTTTTCTGAGGCGGATATTCAGTCAGGAACGCAGCTGCTTTGATCTTTATCTGTTGAAGGAAACAAGATGTGCACGATTGTTGAATTACTCCTCACAATAAATATTTGTTCTGAAATGTTGGAAATGAAATGCAACTGCGCTGGATCATTGAATGTGTCCCATTCCGCCGTTTAGCTCGCTGCGTTCGTGCTATCAGTGCTACCACGGAGGTAGTGTGCCGTCATGATGACGCTGTGTGATGTCCTCTGTCGATTCATGTGATGTCCCGGCCGCTGAACGTCAGCACTATCAGTTATCGTCCGTACCCATTACCCAACTGCCGCTTCTTGGCATCGAATAGGCTATGTTGTTTACTTTTTACGGCGAATATTTCGTTTTTGTTAAAAAGGAAGATGTGATCTACTTCTGAAATAGTTTATAGTTCAGCTAGTATGTTTCTCTTTATTAGCGTGTGTATGATAGTGCGTCTCCCATTGGCATCCCTTTATTTCAGTATTTCGTTGACTGTCCCTTCCGCAAAGCTCCACAAAACACCTACTCACCACCACCCCTGTATGTCCTCTCCGCAGGGGTACTTCGAGGCCAACGATATCCACGCCAACCGGATCGCCGGCTTCGAGGTGAAGGCGGGCGCCAACCCGACGGTGGTGCGCTGCGACATCCACCATGGCCAGACGGGCGGCATCTACGTGCACGAGAACGGGCTGGGCCAGTTCCTGGAGAACCGCATCCACTCCAACTCGTACGCCGGCGTGTGGATTACGGCCAACAGTAACCCGACCATCCGCAAGAACGAGATCTACAACGGCCAGCAGGGCGGCGTGTACATCTTCAGCGACGGCCGCGGCCTCATCGAGCACAACAACATCTACGGTGAGGCGTTAGTGTGACCTGGGTGGGGTGGGGAGATCCCGTGGGGGTTTCTAGGGAACAGTCCACGCTGAGGGAATGCAGGAATGTGAGATCATTTCGAGTGTTTTAGAAGCAATTATTTCCACAATACTTAGGCGCTGAAAGACCAGTAATTTAATGGTCATCTCGATTGTTGTGTTTAGTTGTCAGGGATCCAGGCACAAGTACTGGGCACTGATCGTGGTTGGGGAAGGAGGGGGGGGGGGATGAGCGTATTGCGATAATCCGTTGTGGTAGTTCCATCTCGGCAGTCTTGTATAGTTTGACGGTGGTGTATTCGGTTTACCTATTGGCTTATACCCGAGTTTTGTTAGCTGCTGTTGTCGGGATGGATGTTTTGAGGAGTCGCTCCTACGTTTTCATTGAATGGTGCAAGCATTCCTTGTTGCAACGCAATTTTGCCGTGAATGTTTGTCCGGACATAGGCCTCTGTATACCGTATATAGAGGTCTATGGTCCAGCCCATGTCATTGTCTATTTCTGACCCGGCCGTCCATTGTCTATATTTGTTCATTGTCTACATAGCCCCTCTACCACCCTCTGCTTAGCCACCTGACTGAGCGCCCGTTCTCGTTGCCAGGCAACCAGCTGGCCGGTATCCAGATCCGCACCAACAGCTGTCCGATCGTGCGCCACAATCGGATCCACCACGGCGAGCACGGCGGCATCTACGTGCACGAGCGCGGCCAGGGCCTGATCGAGGAGAACGAGGTGTTCAGCAACAAACTGGCCGGCGTGTGGATCACCACGGGCAGCGCGCCCGTGCTGCGCAGAAACCGCATCCACTCGGGAAAACAGGTGCGAACTGGAGGGGAGATAGGAGGCGGGGGAGAACGGGGAGGAAGAGCGGGCTTGGGACTGGCGACATCGAATAGAAATTGAAGGCTAAATGGCAGGGCTATGGTGGAGAAACAGTGTGATCTTTGCGCATTTTAGTAGGCTGAAATGTTAAATGCAAGGCGCGAAGGCGTTGCCTGGTGTGGAATCATAAATAGGAGTAATAGGGTAATTTAATAGGAGTATGTTAGATCTCCTGGCTATGAATTTAATGGTTCACGACATTTGCTTAGCCTCTATCGTGTAACACTGTAACGTGCCAGTTGCCACATTAATACTCTACTCTTTACTTAGCTGGGGTGTATCTTTTCTCTCCAGTTTTCTAGTTTTCATCCGCGGCGCCAAATGTAACTGCTCTTGCATGGTATCTCTTGCATTCATCAGTGGGGCTCCTCAGTCCGCAAATGGGCACCTTCTTTGGCTGTGACGCCAAAGGTATCACTGCCCTACTGAGATCGACAACCACTTGATTAGCTTTGACACCCGCGCGTCTCCTTCCCTGGCTCGGCAGGTGGGTGTCTACTTCTACGACAGCGGCCACGGCCAGCTGGAAGACAACGAGATCTTCAACCACCTTTACTCGGGCGTGCAGATCCGCACCAGCAGCAACCCGACGATCCGGCGCAACAAGATCTGGGGCGGCCAGAACGGCGGCGTGCTCGTCTACAACTCGGGCCTCGGCGAGCTCGAGCAGAACGAGATCTTCGACAACGCCATGGCCGGCGTCTGGATCAAGACTGGCAGCAACCCGACGCTGCGCAGAAACAAAATCTACGACGGACGCGAGGGCGGCATCTGTATCTTCCAGCGCGGAAAGGGTGAGCAGAGTCGGGGAGCTGGGTGGTGTCGATGATTGTTAAGTGGTTGAAGTTGCACTTGCAGTAATGAGCCATTTTGTACCCTGTCATCATTATGCTGAATGCATGGTACTTGTAATGTGGCTTATGAGTTCGTGATTGGGTTCTAGCACTAGAGCTACAGGCTCATCTGCCTCTTCTTTGATATGTTCTGATCGCTTGAGCCCCTGCTGGTTCCTTGTGTTCATTTGGGTGCGTTTAACGCTGATGCTCACTCGCCCCTCCATTTTCAGGCATCCTGGAAGAGAACGAGATATTCCGTAACGTTCAGGCCGGCGTGCTGGTGTCGAACGACTCGCACCCGATCCTGCGCCGGAACCTCATCTTTGACGGCATGGCGGCTGGCATAGAGATCACCAACCGCGCCACGGCCACCCTCGAGGCCAACAAGATCTTCAACAACCGCTTCGGCGGCCTCTGCTTGGCCACCGGCGTCACGCCCATCATGAAAGGTGAGCGCGCTGAGAGCTTATGTGACGGTTAGCCGTTGGGAGTGGCTGACGTTTAACGCTTAGAGTAATGTGCATGCTAGCCGGTCCCACTTTAATATAGGGAAATCCAAAAAGTGTAGCACATATTCAAACACACTTTGCTTTTCATCCCATTGCTAAAAGGAAGCTTCCTACAAATTTTTGAGTCAATCGGTCAATGTTTAGGGGTCGCGCCAAAATGTAGATTTTATAATGTTTATTGTTTATTAACCACATAACACCCACAGGCAAATCGGTCCAGTTCAGCGTGAAGTCATGTGATAAAATTACATAGGTGGTACATGGAAAACAGTAAGTAAAATCAGTCGATATAGCTGCCCAGTGTTCGGGCGAACTGGAAAGCCTCGCGCCGGAAGGACGTGGAAGGATGGTAAAAGTCCACCGACAGGCTGTGTGCCAAAAATTGATTGCACAACCGAGGTATACGCACAGAAAGACAGTTCTTTACGGTGTTCACTGTTCACTCTCCCGAAGGGCACATGAAACAAGTCTGTGCGGCGGTTACGCCTCTCAGGCACATTCAGACCAAACATCGATACCAGATAAGCACAGTCGGTACGGTGGTGAAGGAGTTGTACAAGAACATGGTATCGGTGTGAATGAGGCGGGCTTTGATGGACTCAATTTTAAAGGTTCACAGTAGACTACGATAGTCCATAGGACAGCTCCTCAGCGTTTAACACCTAGCCATATGAGACAGCGGTGCTGTCCGCTGTAGCCGTTCCAGCCGTACCAGTTGGAACTGGGCTGCACCGCTCCAAATGACACTTCCGTATTGGAGGACGGACCTAACATGACTATTGATCAGATCTGAAGAACAGATCAGATTTCTTCGACTCACGTTCCCGACGAAGAGCGTCCACAAATGGCTGCAGTCCTCTCTCATCCTGCTCGGAAGGGCACGAAGAAGCTGGAAGGTAAAGGTCTCAAACTGGACGGGACTCTCAACGGACGCGTCACCTCGAAAGCGAAGTCCCTCTTCGACCCCCTCAGTGCATCTCTTGACACTGGCGGATCCAGGGGGGGGCCATGGGGGCCATGCCCCCCCCCAAAGGCCTAAAGTGGCCTGTTTGCCCCCCCCCAAAACGTCAGAAAAATTTCTAAGAAAATATACCTTGATGGAGGTTTTTAGCCACTTGGTGAAGTAAATTTTCCACAGCATAATATGGAAGCAATATGGTAGCAGTGAGGGTCAGTCAAAAGTTGCGCGAGCGGAGTCGACCTTAAAAAAAAAGACTGTTGTTGGCATGTGTTTATGGCGCGGCAGCTGGTAGTTGGCGGTGTTTCGCGTGGTGTGGCATCACTGGCGGATCCGGGGGGGGGTAGCACGGGAGCCTGAGGTGCCCCTGACAGGCCCGTGGTGCCCTTGCTAGGCCTGTGGTGCCCCTGGACCCTGGCAGGCCTGTGGTGCCTCTGGCGGGCCTAGGGTGCCCCTGCTAGGCTGCTGATGCCCCTGGGACCTGACAGGACTGTGGTGCCCCTGACAAGCCTAAAGTGCCCCCAACAGGCCCGTGATGCCCCCGACAGGCCCAAGGTGCTCCTGCGACCTGCGTGATGCCGTGATGCCTGCGAGGCCGGTGGTGCCCCTGCGAGGCCGGTGGTGCCACTGCAAGGCCGGTGGTGCCACTGCAAGGCCGGTGGGGCCCCTGACAAGCCCATGGTGCCCCTGCGAGGCCGGTGGTGCCCCTGCTAGACCGGTGGTACCCCTGGCAGGCCTGTGGTGCCCCTGCTAGGCCGCTGGTGCCCCTGGGCCCTGACAGGACTGTGATGCCCCTGACAGGCCCAAGGTGCCCCTGTAAGGCCTGTGGTATCCCTACTAGGTCTCTGGTGCCCCTTTGACAGGCCCATGGTGCCCCTGCGAGGCCGGCGGCGCCCCTGGCAGGTCTCTGGTGTCCCTGACAGATCTGGGGTGCCCCTGACAAGCCTGTGGGGCCCCTCACAGGCCCGTGGTGCCCTTGCTACTTGCTAGGCCTGTGGTGCCCCTGGCGGGCTGGTGGTGCCCCTGCTAGGCCGGTGGTGCCCCTGACACGCCTGTGGTGCCCCCGGGCACCAAGGGGGGTCATGACCCATGTGGCCCCTCTTGGATCTGCCACTGATACATAATATATTGATTTGTAAAGGCGTTATGGCTTATGCAATATGCAATTGCAGGCACTTGGTATGCCTCACTTATCCCTTATTGGGGGCTCTGGCGGGCTCCTGAGGGCCCACGTCTATCTCCGGGAGCCCTTGACAGGCTCCTTTGGGTCCTTTCAGTCCACTATAGCATAAGAGGTCTCCATGCGAGTCCTATACATCTGAGGGCGTACCCTGACGTCTGAGGTACCCAACTGCAGCTCCAATGGTCTCTTACACTGGCGGATCCAGGGAGGGGGCATTTAGGGCCATGCCACCTTCCCAGTTCCCAGAGGTCTAAAGTGGCCCGTTTGCCCCCTCCCCCAAACGATAATGAAACATACTAGTAGTTCAATCAGTGCGTGGCCTAGGAACCGAGTTAGACAGGGGGTGTTTTACCACCTCCCGGCCCGCAAAGGGACCCAAGCACTGACTCGAAGCGGGTTAACTGGTCGACAAAAGCAATGGTAAGTGCTTACAAAGTAATATAAAGGCATGGGTCGGGTGGGCTACCATTTATATATTTTTCTTTCTAGAAAAAAAAATCATAGTGTCGGGCTGTGACGAAAAATAAGTGGCCTAAATCCGATGAGAAAACAGGATTTGGGGGTACCCTAGGTTTGGCTCCAGCATGAGTTGGCCCCCCCCCCCAAAAAAAAACGCAAGCCTGGATCCGCCAGTGTCTCTTGACCTTACCAGGCCCGTTCGTGAGTGGGACCTCGATCCAGCCTACAGGCATGCCAGGGAGAAAACAGCTGCACTGTCAGCTGTGAATGATGCAGCTGAACGAGGAATTGCCCTCATCGAGAAGTTCAACAACTCCATCACACGAGATGGACAAGAAGCAGCACCCATGCTCAAACTGGTCCACCGCCATCGTCAGTTGGTGGGCCGCGGGAAGAAGGCTGACCTTGCCAAGAAGGTTGTTGTGCCCTCGGGGTGGGGGAAGGTTTGGACAAACCTGCGTCCGCCTCACTTGCGGTTTATTCCCCCACACACACAACAGAAAAACACATGGCACACATGGCCCTATCTCGGCCAAGGTCAAGAACGGAAGAAGCTCTAGAGGTGACTCGACACCTCTTTGTCCTTACGACCCAAAACAGTTGACAATCATAAAGAGAGGGGGTGAACAGGTTATGCGAAATAAAGGATCGAAACTGAACGAAGCCATTTCGAACCAAACATATTACTAACTAAGTGTCGATCGTAATATCAAATCATAATCACCGCAACGACCAACACTATCAACAAAGGCGTAAAACTCAACCGATAATTGCGCGTCCGCGCCAATCGGCTGCGCGGTCAGCGCCACTAAATTAGTTCCCGCCACAACACCACCCCTCTCTTTAATGGGAAACACTCCCGCTTCTTAAGCCTCCCACTATCCGCGGAAACCATTACACTCACAGCTATCAAACGTAACTTACGATGATAGCCCAATCCTAACGCTACTCGCCCGGAGTGAACCGATCTGGGCCTCTGCGACCCCGCCTGCTACGGCGGGGCCCTGGCTCACCCGCCGGGGCGGTACACTTTGGGGTTGGACAGCGGCTGTGAGCAGGACTTCTGAGTGCCGAGGAGCGGGTGCGCACTGGCGTGGGGCGGGGCTCAGGAACTGGATTAGCACCACCGCCGGGACCACCCCGCGGCGCGGCCGCGTCCTCACCTTCTGGCCGGCCGGGCACCAAGCGTCTAGCGTGGACACGCTCGCCGCTGGTGAGCCGGTAACTTACCGGGCCAGTCCTCCGGCTGATCTGCACGGCCTTCTGGCCCTCCACACGCCCACTCACCGGCTGTCGGACCCGAACCCAGTCGCCGACGCGCCAGCGCGGGGCGCCAGTCGACCCCCGGTCATATCTGGCTTTGTAGGCCGCCTGATACTTTTCGTGTCGCGCACGAAGCTCACTGCCGGTGTCCGGCGAGGAAACCTCACCTGGCACGACGTCCAGCAACGTCCGTGCCTCCCGCCCCCTCATCAGCCGGAACGGCGTCTCTCCCGTACCTGCGTGCGGGGTAGCCCGGTACTCAGTGAGGAACCGCCTCAAGTACTCCGAGCGCGGCTCCCGGGCCAGCCGGGCCGACTGGATGGCGTCTTTTACCGTCCGATTCAGACGCTCCACCATGCCGCAGGACTGCGGAGAGTATGGTGAGCTGAAAGTCTGCTTGACCCCCAGTCGGGTCAAAAAATCACGGAGTTGGGCAGACCGGAACGCTGGACCGTTGTCGGAGACCAGCTCCAACGGCAACCCCTCGCGGCTGAACACCGCCTCCAGGAAGCTGATTATAGACGCCGCCGTCGCGTCCCGACACAGCGCCACCTCTGGCCACCTGCTGAACATGTCGCACAAGACGATGCCGTACCGCTCGTGCTGGGGCCCCTGCATGGGCCCAATCACATCGATCATGAGGCGCTGCCACGGACCGTCCGGAAGAGGAATCGGCTGGAGAGGGGGCCGCTCCTGCCGCACGTGGCCGTCATGCTGCGTGCACACCTCACAGCTCCGCAGGAGGTCACGTACCTCCCTGTCCAGCCGCGGCCACCAGAACTGCGCGCGCAGGCGCTGCTTGGTCCTTGTCTCACCTTGGTGACCCTCGTGGGCGTTCCTCAGGACGCGCTCACGCAGCGCCGCCGGCACAACCAGTCGCTCGCCACGGAAAAGCAGCGGTCCGAGCTGGGACAGTTCGTCTCTCACCTGGTAAAAACCAGTCGCCCGAGGATCGACATCCCTCTGGCGAGGCCACCGTCCGGCGAGGTACCCCCGGATCACGTCCAGACACTCGTCTGACGCCGAGGCGTCCCGCAGCTCCTCCTCCGTGACTGCTGCTGCTAACGACAGAGCCGCGATCTGGATAGAATCATCATCAGGCCACCAGGTCTCGGCGACCGGCAGACAGGACAGGCCGTCCGCCACTCCGTTCCGCTCCGACCTGACGTACTCGACGTCGAACGCAAACTCCAGCAGCCGGGCCTCCCACCTCGCGACTCGCCGGCCGACGCGGTTGGAGCCCTTGACACCGAAAATGGTGCAGAGAGCCTGGTGATCGGTTCGAAGGGTGAATCGCCGACCCCACAGGTAGTGGCGAAACTTCTCGACGGCCCATACACATGCCAGCGCCTCCTTCTCCACTACCGAGTAGTTGCGTTCGGCCGCCGAGAAAGACTTCGAGGCGTACGCAACGACCCTGGGCTGACCCGAGGCGTCCATTTGCGTCACGCACGCACCGCAGCCGACGTCACTGGCGTCAGTGGAGAGCACCGTTCGTAGCTCCGTGCTGAACATGCACAGTGCTGGTGCTTCGCTTATCGCGTCCTTGACGCGGCGGACCGCGCTGGACAGCGCCGCCGTCCACTCGAACTGGTCCGCCCGGAGCGCGGCCCTCAGCGGCTCTACTACGTCCGAGAACCGTGGCAGAAACCGCGCATGATACCCTACGGCACCGAGGAATGCGCGCAGGCTCTTTTCGTCCCGCGGCTCGGCCGCCTCCAATAACGGCCTGATCCGCTCCCGGTCGATGCGGACACCCGCTGACGAGACCAGATATCCCAGAAAGGAGAGCTCGCTCTGATTCGTCACGCTCTTGGGCCAGTTGACCCGCACCTTGTGGGCATCGAAACGCCGCAGCACTTCCCTCAGACGGGCGTCGTGCTCGGCCTGGGACGGCGCGTGGACCAGGATGTCGTCCAGGTATACCTCCACGCCTGGCACCCCCTCCAGCATGGACGCCATCACTCTCTGGAAGCACGGCCCGGCGCTCGCGAGGCCGAAGTTGACGCGCCGGAACCGGTAGAGTCCCTTATGACTTATAAAAGTCGTTAGGTCTCTGCTGTCAGGATGGAGCTCCAGCTGGTGATATGCATCCTTTAAGTCCAGCCTGGAAAAGACCTGAGATCCACTCAGGCGGTCAAGGACATCTTCGATCCTGGGGAGCGGGTAGCCATCCGTAATCACAGCTTTGTTGACCCGCCTCATGTCTACACACAGGCGGATGGACCTATCCCGCTTCCTTCCCACCACAAGAGGAGAGACCCAGGTAGATGCACTGACTTTTTCAATTATCCCTTGCTCCTCCAGCTCCTTGAGCCTGGCACTCACCTCGTCCAGCACTGCCAAGGGCAGCCTCCGCAGGGGCTGGCGCACTGGCGCCACCCCTGGGTCGATGGTCACCCGGTGCTGGTAGCCCAGGATGGCTGGCTGCTCTCCTGACGGAGAAGCAGGTCCAGTCGGAGAGGCAGGTTCGGACGGTGAGGCAGGTTGACCGGCGTGAGGGCTGGCAGGTTCGGCTGGCCCGACGGGCGAAGGGACTGGGCTGGCATGACAGGACGGGTCTGTGGACACAGAGCATACACTGTCACCAATGATGCACACTTTGAACAGTTTCATCATGTCCAGGCCCATCAGAGCACGACCATGTGGCACAACATACACAGTTACATCATGACACTCCCCCCTGCATGACACATTTACACTTTTTACCCCTAACACATCTAACACACTCCCCCCATATGAGCACAGGCGGTCTGCTGCTGGCTCAAGGGCACCAGGCGCCAGGTGTCTGGGGAGGAGGGACACTGGGGAGCCAGAGTCTACCGTGAACACGACCTCCCTCCCCTCCACCTGGGCTGTCAGAGTCATTGGTGATGCCCCGATTGCCAGCACTTGAACACTGGACACCACTCGCTTCTGGACACAGTGCTGGGCAAAGTGATTCACTTTCCCACATTTGGAGCACTTCACATTGACAGCAGGGCAACACTGGTCCCCTCGCCTGTGTCCAGCACGCCCGCACCCCCAGCACAGGCTACTGCTACTCCCTGCCGGCCTCTGCTGCTGAGGCTGTTGCTGATGAGTGGAGACCCGACCAGCAGCACGGGTCCTGGCCCCACCACGCTGAGGCCGCCGACGCTGCTGCTGCTGCTGCTGGACAGCCTGAACAGGAACTGGAGCAGCTGGTGCCTCCATCACCCGAGCCTCACGTTCAGCCGACTCAAGTGTGTCACTGATGGTGAGGGTGCGCTCCAAAGTCAGGTCAGAGCCCTCCATAAGAAGTCTCTGTCGCAACTTGGAAGAGTTAGTACGCTCGATGACCTGGTCCCTTATGAACTCGTCGGTTCTGTCACCATATTCACAGGAGCTGGCCAGCTGGCGCAGTATCGACACCCACTGCTGGACTGTTTCCTCAGTTTGCTGCACCCGGCTCCTGAAACGGTAACGCTCCACACACACATTCTGGCGAGGAGCGAACTGGGCCTCCAGGCGCCGCCTGGTGAAGGCGTACTGGTCCTCGCCTTCCTGCTTGACAGCAGCTGGGAGGGACTCGAAAATTCGCTGCCCCTCCGCCCCCAGGCACGTGAGAAGGATGGCCTCCTTGCGCGCAGCTGAAAATGAGCCGCCGCCCACGGCCACCAGGAAGTTATCGAACATCCTTATCCACCGCGGCCAGGCCGTACCGGGCTCGGCGCCGGCCGCCGGCAAAAACGGCGCAGGGGCCACCGAAAAATCCATTGCCGACAGTTATCACGGCCGCGTAAAAACTTACGCCTCGTCGCCACTTGTTGTGCCCTCGGGGTGGGGGAAGGTTTGGACAAACCTGCGTCCGCCTCACTTGCGGTTTATTCCCCCACACACACAACAGAAAAACACATGGCACACATGGCCCTATCTCGGCCAAGGTCAAGAACGGAAGAAGCTCTAGAGGTGACTCGACACCTCTTTGTCCTTACGACCCAAAACAGTTGACAATCATAAAGAGAGGGGGTGAACAGGTTATGCGAAATAAAGGATCGAAACTGAACGAAGCCATTTCGAACCAAACATATTACTAACTAAGTGTCGATCGTAATATCAAATCATAATCACCGCAACGACCAACACTATCAACAAAGGCGTAAAACTCAACCGATAATTGCGCGTCCGCGCCAATCGGCTGCGCGGTCAGCGCCACTAAATTAGTTCCCGCCACAACAAAGGTGTTCTGAGTTTCTGTTAGGCCTAGGCAAGTAATTGGTGGCAGAGAAGTGACTCACTTTGCATTCAGTTGTGATCCAGTTCACTAATTATCAGTATACAGTAGAGAATTCGCAACAACCCAGAACAACATGAAGCGTTATGGCGCGACCCCTAAACCTGACTCAATCGTTCTCATTTTTTCTTGGTTTCATGTTCTGTTGTTAGGGACTCAAGGGAACATGTGTCTCTACGGTTTCAATGGCGTTGGTACTTTTAGGACAGGCTAGTGCATGCTTTGTAAAGCATAGGAAAGGCTTAAGTCTTGAGAGGCGCGGATGCTATGGAATTAATTGGTATTGGTATAATTATCGGACCACTTAGTAACAGAGAAACTACGGTCATGTGTATAAGTAATCGTCCACCTTCCATAATCCTTTCTCCTCTATCTCTCTGCCTCTGTCGCTACTCGGAGCACTCCGTGCCCCAGTAACTCAGAGTACGACACGGTGAACCGATCGCTCGGCGCCATACCGGCCGGCCGGCTGTTCCGGCATCTCAAGGCCGCCGGCCGGCGCGCCCGAGCGGCTGGGAGCCGGTAGACCGGTGCGACCGCCGACCGGACCGTTTGTATCGCGCCGGGTGGTGGATGACGGCAGCGGACGTCCGCGCGCTGGGGGTGGAGGGGGAGCGGGGCCCCTTCCCCGGCAGTCACCAACAGTCATTGCTAGTCACTAACTGGAAGCTGTTTCGGGTCGGATGATGTGTTTGCTATTTGTGCTTCGGTTGTGACGAAGCTCTAATATCTGTTATGGCAGCTGATCTCGGATAAGTCGGTCTCGTGTTCAGCTGAACCTGATAGCCTATCTCGAGGTAGCACAGGTATCTCAGATTCCGGCAGCATATTACGATCCTATCGCTGATCCTCTTCTCTTATCCTCTCCCATCCCATTCGTGGGTTCTTTGTCACCTAGTTACAGTATCGTTGTGAGTGGGATATTCCACCAGTTGATTCGTATTAGGGAAGGTCAGACCGCGCTGACGTCACCGGCTTCCGACATCAGATCGGCTCCAATATCACCGTGATAGTATCAGATGACGTCATCAGTTGCAGAACCTCGGAGGTGACGCTTTAACCCGGCTAGACCGTGACGTTATAACGCGACAGGCGCTAGTTATGCTCACCAACATATCCCGGACATTTGACCCACAGGCAACAAGATCTTCGACAACCAGGATATGGTGGAAAAGGCCATCGAGGCCGGCCAGTGTCTGTACAAGATTTCCAGCAACACGTCGTTCCCCATGCACGACTTCTACCGGTGCAAGACGTGCAACACCACGGAAAAGAACGCCATCTGCGTCAACTGTATCAAAATCTGCCACGCCGGCCACAGCGTCGAGTACATTCGGCATGATCGGTGAGTGCCCCGCGCGGGGGAGGGGCTTTTCAGGTAAGGAGGGAATGGCGATGCGGGGGAGGCTAGGTGAGGTGGGTCAGGGGACATAATGAGGATAGGTTAGTTGCATGGATTGACGTGTGCGTGTTTTGCCGTTGTTTGTATCGAGTTTGATGTTAGCTTTAGTTGTTAGTCGGGTGGTTTTCGGACCAGTTTTCAGGTCGCTGCACCGGTTTATATGAAGTGAGGTTTCTTATATTTTTGATCATGCACCGTTATAGAAGAATAGATATTAGATATTCTGCTCCAGGCCCATTCGATCTGGGAGTGTGGTAATGACATTTTTCTTCACTTCCCTAATTGCTCTTCTCCAGTGAACTGTGTTTGATTTGGCCCACCAATTGTAAGTAGTCGCTCACTGTTTTGGTGTTGAGATGCGGATTACTTCTACATCATTGGTTGAGGGTTATTATATCCGGTTGATGTGCCTTGGGATGTCGCGCTCATGGTACCCACTCGGTATTCCTAGCATGTATGTACGTAAAGCTGATGCGAAAATTCCCGTCTTACATCACGTATCGGCAGTGTGAGAAAAGGTCCTCGCAGGAAGCGGCAGAAGTTGCGTGGCCCTAGTGATGGTATATCAAGTGTCCTGGAACCCTGGCACTGGTGAGCGTGACTGACGTGTGACCCGGTGCGGCAGGTTCTTCTGCGACTGCGGCGCGCGCGGCCTGCGCAACCCCTGCCAGCTGCAGGGCGAGCCCACCCAGGACTCGGACACGCTCTACGACTCGGCGCAGCCCAGCGAGTCGCATACGCTGAAATACAACGACAACTAGCCGGCAGAGCCCAGTGATACACAACAAATATGGCACTATTGTATATTATAGTCGGCTGGCCGGCCGGCGCGCGACGCCAGCGCCGCGCTGCGGCGGGTGTCCGAAACTGTCGTTCGCCCGGTGGCTACCAGGGGCTCCCGGTCGATCGTGAGCTACTGCAGTGTCGCCGCGCGGCGGCAGAGACTTCTAGGTTTTTGAATCGGAGGACAGCAGTGAGAGCCGCGGTGAGCGCCGGCGCCGCCCCAGTGAGAGAGCAGTGAGATGGTGAGAGGACGTGTCCGCCGGACAGGGCTTCCAGATGACCCAGACGCGGCGAGGTCTCAGAGACTCGTGCGGGCGGCCCCGCGGGGTGCCTGGACCCGGCGCCGGCCCGGCGGCCGCTCCACCGCTGGTGATTGGCACGGACTGAACGCTGACGTGCCTCGGCGGCGGGCGCACCGCAGTGCTGCGCGGTCCGGTCCACCGGGGGACCCGCTGGCGGTCCCGGCAGTGTAACCCGGCGACTGGCGGAGCTGTGTGAGCGACTGGCCGTGTGAGCGACTGGCACTCGTGTGGCGCCCGCTGGATCCCGGTCAGATGCGGGCCGGGTCCGGAGAGGTCTGTGATTGGCGGTCCGCCGCCCCTGCCGCTGCCGCTGTCGCTGGCAGCGAGGCAGCTCTCGGCCCGGCGTGGAGCGCCGGCGGCGCGGCAGGCCCGCTGGGCCCTGTCGGAGCCCGGCGCCGCCGGCAGGAGGTGTTACACGCCGCGCTCAGCGCTGCGGCCGCGCTGATGACAATAACAGTGTTCACGTGACCCGCCGGCGTCGCGGAGAGTGAGTGGATCGGTTTTGTTGGCACCCACGAGGGCGGATCATGCTGTAGGTAATTGTTCTTATGATCTGGGGCGGTTGGACGCGAGAGGTCTGTGTTTCGTTCCTCAAAGAGATGTCGACTCGCCACCAGCGAATGGCGAAGACTGACTTATGCGACAAGTCATCGCTTTTGCGAGCGTCGCCGAATCCCGGCGCTGGCCGGCCGACATTTATATTCTTATGTGGCAAAACGTCCCGAGTTGTATGGCTCCGTGCATAGAACTTACATTTTCATTGTGAGAACAGTTTATTGCGTGCTTTGCCAGTCTTGTCCCGTAAATGCCGGCAATGAGTTTTCACGGCTGCTTTGGAGCGAAAATTGGTCGTAGTGCGTTTTTCTGTGTTGCCGGGGAGTTTCTGTCGGGCCCGAACCGGTCCCCAGTGGCGCGGCGGTCGCGGACATGACACCGGGGGCGGGTCCGCCGGGGACTGGGTGTCCCCGCCCCCGCCCCCGCCCCCGCCCGGCGCCCGGCGCCCGCCTGTGTTGGTGTTGCTCGTGTCTCCGTATGATGTGCGTGCCCGTGGTGACACCAGTGAAACGTAACTCTCCTCTCTCTCTCCCCGCACCTCTGTCTGTCCCCGTCACTCCTGCCCTCACCCCTCTCTCCCTCTCTGCTTTCTCCCTTCTGACCCCCGTTTTCGGCCGTTCGCCTGTGTGGGTCGCGGACTGGGCTGCAGGCTCGGAGCGACGGCACACGACGCCCCACGCCCTGCACAGCGGAGTAGATGGGTGGGGGATACTAACTCGATGTGAGTGAGAGAGTGTGTAATGCAACTGCTATCGATATCGGTACGAAATATAAATCTTTAAGTGCGCGCCGTCTCTGCGGCGGGATGCGGTGGGGGAACTGTATTTCTGATAGTCTTCTTTGTACTTTTTTCTGACCTGCTGGTCTGTTTTGCGATATGCAATAGTGTTGAAACATTTTCAGATGGTATTTGTGCAACTCGTTCGCTTGCGCCTGCAAGTGCCGTCAAAGATGACTGATGCGAGCGGATATAGCCGAAGAACTGGGCGTCGATGACCTCCACAATCCGCCCTTGAGGTGCCTACTGCCTGCCCTGATTCCTGAACCCAAGGACCAAGGACAATGGCATCGTCACAACCAGAACTCTTCGGAGAGACAAGCCACGGCTCGGGATCGCTCCTCGCACAATGCAGGTCCATACCCAACCTCAACTTTCGCCGATGACCTCTGCAGTCCCGAAGACCACATCATAACTTGAGATTTATGCTTTGGTAGTAACCATTGTCACGGTGCCACCCCGTCGCTGATCTCAACAAGACATATTTTAGGCTATCAGTTTACGTTGCCACTTGCCAGTATGATTGTGCATATCTTGGGTGAATCAGAAAAGGCAAAGTGCTGAGAGCACATTTTTTCAGCTTTTAGATATCGTTAAAAGTCGTTTTGTACAAACCATGTGATTAAAGCCGCAGGATTAAAAGCCGAGCTGCGTTTTAAATCGACACGGCGACTTTTTGACAAGTCTCCCGTTCGTGCGTCGCTAGATCTGCAATGCGGCTCTGCGTCCCCTGTTTTCCGATACGGGATAAAACCCCGGGGAAGTCGTAACAGTGGCTGAGCACCTCGCGCTGAAACCTTTCCGCTTCAGTGCGCATTGGGTGGCCGCGTTTTCGCTCCAGTCGCTATCAATTTCCGGCGCGGCCAATAGCTCGGTCTTCGGCGCACACTAACGGAGACGCTTCAATTTGGCGGTAAGGAATGTAAGACCGTTCCGCTGCACTTTTCCATTCCTCCCTGGGGCATTCTTTGAGGTTCCATTTCCACTAATGGCCTATAATCCCGGAGAAAGGCCAAACAAAGCTGGCTACATGGGGGCGCGCGCTGACGTTTTTTGTCCATTTCTCGTGCGGCGCGTGACAAATCGCCAGAGGCACTCGGCGTCCGGCTCCATCTGGGCGCCGATATTGGCCTAATGACCGCATCTGTTCGGCTCGATCGCCACTGATGCTGTCACCGCAGGCAGGCTGGCGCCGTTTTTTAGTATTCATGTGTCGGCCGGACCCTTGGGTAGGGTCGCGGTCGGACCATAGAGGGGCGTCACTCCGTAGTGGCGACTGGCGTGCGGTGACTCCTGGCTCGTGGGGATTGCTGGAGGTTCCTTTACTCGTAGGGCCTGCGGTGGTTCCCGCAGCACGGAGTTCGGATCTAAGAGGTATTAAGGAAAACGGTCCTGCAATCATGCCTCGAAGACGGCAAAAAGCGTATTCGACTCCCAGTTTCGGGTAGCCCCCCCCCCCCAGGCTACCCTACAATTGATTGAATTTCAGTCAAAATAGCGTCTCTAGTAGGGTGTGTCACTAATCGCAATGCAAGGTGCTCCATCGATTTTATTGTGCTCCACTCATGTGGAAAGGGCGTGGCATTGTTAATTTCCCGCAAATTTTAACCCCCAGGCGGCGCCGAGCGAGAGAAGTTTGCCCTATCTCACAACATAGGCGCCCCTAGCGCCCCTGGCGGCTGTTTGCGAAACTAACAGGCCGTTGACTGTATGGGCTTATCCCTGCTCTCTGTAAGCGCGTCTAGGGACAAATAATAGTATGGGCAGATTGCAGAGAGTGCAAGCTAATGACGAATACCTATAATGAATACAATATATTGTCACAGGGGCCCAGGAACATTCTTCAAGTTGGGGTGCAAGCCCAAAATACCTGACATGACGCATATGAAATAGTAGCGTGGTCAGGGGGTCCCAGGAGGCACGTGCCATCTAGTCCCCCCCCCCTATCGCATTCAGAGGACCCCTCGGGTCGGAGGGGCTCTGTGGCACCAGTTTACCACTCAGGGTCTATGCTGGCCATATTTCGATTCAGAAAGAATAGGGCTCGTAACAGCACCTCGTGAGTCCAAAGAAGCCTCACTAAATTGTCCATGAGGGTTACACGCCGGCTTCTGAAGGCTACTGGCGGCCTCTGAGGGCCCTTTACCGGCCTCTTATGGCCGCTAGCGTGCCTCTGAGAGTCCTTGCCGGCCCAAGAGGGGCCATATCTAGGGCCTTACGCCAACCTGTAATCAGTAATGGCCTCACATCAATGTCTCTGACGGCCCCATTACGACGACTGTGAGACTGAGGGCCCTCACTGGTGCTTCTGAGAGCCCACCCGGCCATAAAGACCCCTGCGGTACCAACTGACCTCTGAGGGTCCACGCTGACTATATTTCAGCTGAGAAAGACCTCACAGGTCTCGTAAGAGCACCTCATGAGCCCCTAAGTAGCCACACTAAGATCTCCGTCAGGGTCTACGCCGGCTTCTGAGGATCCCATAACGGAGACCGTGAGGGCCCTCAGCAGGGCCTCTGAGGGTTCACAACCAGCACCTCTGAGAGACCCACACCAGTGGTTCTAAGGGCCCATAAGGACACCACTGAGGGTCCCCCAAGCCAGTGCCACACCATTTATGCAACCCTATATTGGTGGCTCTGAGGTACCCACACCTGCGCCTGTGAGGGTTCGGCAAAAGCATATCTGACGGCCACCTACCTGCAACTCTGAGGGCCCTACACCAGAGAGTGAGGGCCGCACTGGCGTCTCAGAGTACCTTGTCGGTATCTAAGGACCCCACAGGGCTTCTGAAAATGCCGCCGGCCTCTGTGGGCCCCTTGCCGGTCTGAGGTCCCCCTCCCCAGTCGTTGAGGGCCCCCTGCCGACTTTTAAAGGGTTCGCACCAGCAGCTCTAAGGGCCACACACCCACATGTAACGGACCCACACCAGTGTCTCTGAGGGTCCACAACGGCGTCTGTATTCTGTGAGGACCCTCACCGGCGCTTATGAGGGATTCACACTAGCACCTCTGAGGGGCCACACGGCCACGGGCGTCTGTGAGGACCCCACACCAGTGCCTCTAAAGGCCCCTAATTGGAGGCTCTGAAGGCCCTGCATCGGTGATACTGAGGGTCCTACCAAAGGCACAACACAAGCCATTAGTCTCCTTCTGAGTCCCACACGCCGCCCTCCCACCATAAGCGGCGGAACGGGGAGGGCACCGGGGCACCGTGCCCCCTCTGATTTGGGCATTTTAACATTAGCCCTATGGGCGTTGCATGGAAAGAATGGGACCAAAAGTCGGCAGTGCCCCCCCCCCCCCCTCCACTTAATTGAAGGTGTTCCGCCGCTACTGCCTCCCACCGGAGCGAGTAAACCTGTATCAATCAGCGACTTTACCACCGTTGTACGTCATAATGTTCTCATCACGCCAAATCAAATACCATCCGGAACCAAAATGGTCCAGTATAAAATCTGACCTACCAAAGTTATGATCAAGTTCAGATAAAATCAAAGTGGGATGACAATAGCAGGTGTTCTTAAATCGATGCCGAATCAGCAGAAACCATTCACATGCAAGAGAAATACCTTGTGCTGATGTTTATATAAAAACAAACATGTAGGTCCATAAAAGGGAGCAGAGATCCTTCATCGTTGCATCAATGTTGAGGGGGCGGCGCCCACTCGGCTCTCAAGTTGGAGGGGGGGGGGTAAGCGCCCCCACTGCCCCCCCCCCCCCTGTTCCCCGGGGTCTATGCAGTGAACGACGCTACAAAAAAAACATGTGACACCTAATAGCAGGCACTATAAACATGCGCTCGTACGTATCCCGTCAGACCAGGACGGGGATCGGGGGTAGTACTACGCAATATACATTAACACAGAACTATTTCGTGCTTTAAGATGCATAACATCACATTTTCACCAACATTCTCTGAGTGCCAGACAAGCCAGCAGCAAGGCGTCATTTCGGTAAAATGCATTTAATGATGATCGTAAGCTCACAAAGCATAGCGAGCGTGTTAGTTCAAAACATTGCCGCTAGGGGCGCTGAGGTCGCTAATGCTGAGAGATAGGCCAAAGTGTCGGCGGTCGGCGCCGCATGGGTGTTAATATTTGGGGGAAATAAAAAATGTCACACGGTTTCTACGTGTCTGGGGCACGATAAAATCAGTGGAGCACCATGTTTTGCGAAAAAAGTGCCCAAAATGACACACCCTAGTCTCTAGAGATAGTGTTTCACGTATCACTTTTGAAGCAATAAAGCTAGGCAAAAACTGCATAATAGCAATTAGCAGCATCGTAGTCCTCTCGTAATTTCGCCTCGTAGCATATATGTGTTGACTTCGAAAGGTCAAAATCAAAGATTGACCTCGGATCACATAACATTAAGACGCACACCAGTGGGGCTATTTTTGCCCCCCCCCCCCCGTATCTCCGAAACTATTGGACGGATTCGCAAAACTCAAAAGGCGTTCGATAGCCCTGTTGACTTGAGAAAATTAATGTCATTGACCTCAGGGTCACTGATGGCGTCACAGGTCAGGTCAAAGTTAAAATTTTTCACCGTTCACGGGCCTTCTAGACAATGCGTTATAACATTGATTAAAAGGCATTTTATTGAAAATAATCGATAAAGCGTTGGTTGCCTAGTACAGATGTTGCTAAAAGACATCACTGATACCAGGTCAGGTAACCTAGAGGTAACCGCGATTAGAAATTGATGTATGATAAGCTATGCCAGGTTTCGCGGCGCTTTTACGGGCAAAAATTGCAAGTTTGACCAAAAAACGTCCCACTTCCCCAAGCGAGGATTGACCCTCGCCCGCACATGGGGGGGGCCCCCCAGGTAGTCTTTCTGCTCTGCACTCAACATTTTTAGAGCTATAGTCTGTTCCATATCAAGCTTGCAGTTGGAGTTTCTTCGGCAGATCGCTCCTCCGCTCAAGAATTTGTGTCTTAAAATGTAAGAGCTGTATATACAGAAATCACGCACTGTTTTCAGCAGGGCACTTCGGCTGCAAAC